TATAAATAATAAAATTTCTCTTATTAAAAATAAAATAATTCATAAATTTTATTTAAATAATCACAACTTTTCTTTTTTATATTCGTAATAATACAACAATAAATTACAACTTCACATGTTAAATTTTTGATTTGTTATTGCATTATTACATATAAGAAGAAAAGTTGTGATTATTTAAACAACAACTTGTGAATCATTTTTTTTTAACAAGGAAATTTGATTATTTACATAAATTCATTAATGACAAAAAATTTTCAAAACTTTAGTGTAAAATTATGGTATTCTGAGAGACCAAATTTGTCATTTGTATATTTTAGAGAAATTATTATCATTTTTTTATTTATTATTAAGTTTTAACTTTCAAAAGTTAAGGAGGTTATTTGTATATGGTTCAAAGTTTTGCGGAGTTATGTGTAATTAGCCTTTATATATTATTTAGAATGAAACACCTTATTAATAAGGATAATATAAAAGGATTGTATTAGTTTGAAAATAAATACACTACCTTATTAAGAAGTGAGATTCGATTAAAATGTTTAAATTTTTTTAAAAGTGAGAGTATGTATTTAAAATTTTCTTAAAAATACTAAATAAATCAGTTTGTATAAGTAATAATTTAAAATATGAATAAAAATTTTAAAAAAATACATCAAAAATGATATTTTAGTCCAAACAAACTATCAATTAATAAAAAAATAAAAATAAAACCTTAAAGAAAAGTTTGTTTGTATTTTGTTACTCTTAACTAGATAATAGTAGAAAAAGCAATATATTTTATTTTAAGAATTTAATAAATTTTTAATATTTTTTTATTTTTAAAACTAAAGTAGATGCACGGCTATAAATCTAGTTGTGTATAAAAATGCGATGTCTTTACAGTTCGGTATTGTCAGTCTCGATTTCCAAGCATGATTGTAGTGTCAGAGCGCCAGGACGTTGGTGGCGGCGGTTCCTTGTGAAATTTCAAAGTGGAAAACCTTGGACGCCGTTTCTTCCTGAAATTCTTCCCTATTTCTTTCTGTGGTAAATAAATAGACTGCCAGGGTCACTGTCTCCCCTCCTCCATTACTGCTCCCAATTTTGGAAAAACAGAACTTGAATGGTATGAAATGGACAGAAATAAAATCATATAAACTATCTGGATTTATAATAGTGATGGTTCATAATTGATGATGGGTTTTTTCTTCACTCAACGGCCTCTAATTCTTTGATTTCGTTACGTGCATTCATTTTCCTTTGCCTCATTGTAACAAAACACCTTCTTATCCTTTCCTTACGCTGTAATGCCCCTCTTATCTATCCACCCCATCTCCTCGGTTCCTCGCATTCTCCGCCGGGCGCCGCCGGGAATCTACTCCTACCCCCCGCCTTCTTCCTCCATTCCGATGGAACGCGTTTCCCTCAGTCCGGCACGGTCAGTACGTGTCGGGTTTCTGGGTTCTGCTACGGAACCAGCTGTGGTTAGGTTTATTGCGCATGGTCTCAGCGCCGGTGCGGTGGATCTGCTTCATGATGCCGGAGCTACGGCGGCGATTCTCGTCGGCGGATACGCTTGTGTGTTCGCTTTTAATGATTTGACCCGGCGGGAGGTTCTTCAACAGGTATCTGGCAGTCTGGCTCTCAATCTGACTTGCATGCGTGAGATGAATCTCGCTGATTTATCTCTTGGTGTTTTATTCAGTTTTGGTTCTGAATTTTTAGGGGTTTTTATTATTGAGCTGTGAATGGGACCATTTTTGTTACATTGCTCCCGTGATCGATCGATGTCCTGTTGTAGTAACCTTAAGGATTGATTCAAATTGATGTCAGAATCTGAGCAGAAAACTGGTTCATATGCTCTCTGGATTGCTCTTTCTCGCTTCCTGGCCAATTTCAGGTACCCTATATCTCTGTTAGAAAATTCCTCATATAAGCACTTTTAACTTGAAATGCTTGCTCAACTTTCAAGCGTGGGCACCCTTTTTGGAGTGCCAGTATGATGTATATGGCTTCCGTACTGCTGCTGGTGCTTCATGCCTTTTTCACATTCATTTTGATGTGATTGTGAGATTTTGTCTCTGCAAAGACTGGTTTATTTGAATGGCTAAATCCAAGATAGCAACTCTACAGGGGCACGCTACCTTTGCTGCCTTTGTTCCTCTGGTGATTGCTTGAGGCTTGTGGTGAATGGTCTGTCATTGACGTCCGGATGGATCTGATTAAGTCTGTGAAAGAAAAGGACAGCCGCAGTAATTTTTTTGAAATTACTTGTCATTGCTTGTTATTCAGCCGTGATGTCATGTTGATCAATGTATTAAACTGGAACTTCATATGCTGCAGGGAATTGCTGAGGGGTCCCTTGTATTATGTTTGATGCTGATGTTATGCACTCTTACTTTTTGTGGCGAGATTCCCCAGTCGGGGTAATCTCCTTGGCAATTGTGTGTGGAGGAGATGGTAACAAACCCTGTTCTTTTGTTATTTTTTTTGAAGTTCAACCTCTCATGATGAAGCTTTAGCTTTCTCTCATTAGATGCACATCTCACATTATACTTTTGATGGGGAGCAACCATCTCACGTAGTCACTTATATTCCTATCCTTACTTTTAACAGAAAATTACATACGGAGGATCATAATTTTTAAATACTTTGGTCATAAGTGGAAAAGAATGCTCCTGTGATAAGAAATCTAAAGCCTAGAAGTATAGTTGTTGGCCAAGATGCAACTCTTTCATTATCATTCCTCCCCTTGAGTTTGTCACCGGACATGAACTGCAAAGTGGGGATTCAGACCTGTAACAAGCACAATGCCAAAACTTTTTGGGAGGTTGTTTACGTACTAGACTAAAAGCCATTATTGTTACTCAAAGTACACCTATTTCATTATCAACCCAAACCAGACACAAAGCTCACCAATTTCCATGACTTTGTAGCGACACTTGGGTGAAACCTAAGTATGGGTCTTTACTTGCTTATAGTGTAATATTTTTTTTAAGTCTCTTGTTAGCTTTACTTTAGGAAGTCTAGGTGCAACTTAAAGTCTAGATTGTAACATCCATAGGCTATAACATGAGTGTGCAAACTTCACCGGAGTTAGAAAGCAAGTTTATGAAGAAATTTAAATCATGGTAGTTATAATTTTAAAAATCCTTTTTGATTCCATTTATGACAAATTTAAGTTCTTTATCTTTCTAATTTATTCGAGTTTTTTGAGGGCTGTTCACTGTATTTGCAAAGTTGTGGTCCTTGGATGCAATTTCCCTTTTTGTAATTTGATCAATGAATTAATTAAGGCATGACTCTTGAGGAGCACCCAATGCTCAAGTCTCTGAGAGAGGTCAAACTATTTATGGAAGTGTCTTTAAATCCTAAATTGGCTCTTGCTTTTCTTTTATTTCTATGCTAATGAGCTTTTTTAGCGCTGGGTGATTTTCAGGTGTAGCTGATATTATTGGCAGAAGATTTGGAAATGTGAAGATTCCTTTACAACAAGAAAAAGAGTTTCGCTGGTAGCATATCATGCTTGTTGTTGGATCACTCATTTCAATTGGGTACGCCCAAGCTTCCATCGTAACCACTTCCTCATTGATTTTGTGCTTTTCAAGTTAGGGAATCAGCTTTTTTAAGACCTGTGCTCCATTCTCTCTCCCTCTATAGCTAGGCAGGCTGTATCAGCTATTGAAATGAACAAACATGTACAACATGGAAGGTATGTTGGGAGACGGTTTACATGCATATAATGGGCAAAGTTCTTCAGTGGACTTGATTGACCAAATAAAAGTTGATTAACTCAATTATAAAAATATATGTAATTACAATCTTCTCAATTACAAAGATATATATGTATTTACCTATCTATGTATGCATGTAATATATTTATATAAGCATGTCAATGTTTATAGATCCTCTCCAGTGGTGCAAATGGTTGTGAATATGATATAATCAGGCTAAATTGGTCTCTATCTTAAGGTTACAGATGTGAAAATAAAAGGAAAAATGTATCTGTGGAGTTAAAATTTTTAACCATGAAGAAACATTATACTTTAAAAATCTCAACTATACGGGGAAAAACGAAAAGGAAAAAGCACATAAAAAAACAGTAGTGTGTTGACAAATTAGATCCTCTCTGACTGTTCTTTACATAACACATTTTTAGTGAAAATCACTTTTGACATATCCTTTGTTAATGGACTTTATCCTTCTACCTTTATCAAGTTGGATCTGCCTGCTGAAATTTTTTATGGGTGATATTCTAACTGTCTTCACAAAGTGCTGACGAAAACTCACTAGAATGTCATAGATGCTGAAATCTACTAACACACTCATTTTGGTGATTTTATCAGTTCTTCTACACACTCGTTTTGGTAAGTTTCTATAGGCTCTTAGGCTATCTGCAAAGTCAGTAAGTGCTACAAATGAATGCAAGAATACTTCAATTCTGAAGTATATTTCACATATTGGTGCATCTATGTATTTGTAGGATGCTGTACTACTATTCAGTGTTGGGATATATGCAGTTGGATTGGGGACGCACATGCAGATGGTAGCTTTGGTTTCTTTGGTGGCAACAGTGGTGGAATCCCTTCCCATTTCAGATGTTGTTGATGACAACATCTCTGTTCCTCTTGCAACCATGGCTATGGCTTCTTTCACGTTTCATGCTTAGATTTTCAAATTCAGATCCTTTCAAGCATCTCAGAAGAGGAAATAAAGAGAGGTGAGCTCTCCTTCCATAAGACTCAAACACGTAGGCGTGGGGACCACTTGTTTCTTTTTTTTTTTTTTTTTTGCCTCCCTTTAGTTCAACTTCAGAGAATCTGGGCTCTGGCTTTTCGATGCCTGTTGCTATTAGCCCCATCTACATCGAATATTGAATGTATCAATTGAATAAAGAAAGAAAGTGTTCCCAAGAGTAGAATGTTTGTTGAGCTGAAGTGGCTTTCGTAGAAATTTATAGGGAAAATATCACTGCAGGACCTGTGAAGCAATTTTATGGCAAAAGAAAGACTAAAAGAATCAGAACTGTCACTAAAATGTAAATAAGTTTGAGCATAAAATGATCATAATATCCTTGTTTTTTTAAAAAAGAAAAGAAAAAATGAAAAAGCCAATCCCATGGTTACCACAGCTTCCGCACTGACAATTTTATTGAATAATTGGTAAGGTGGTTAAGGAAGGTTTGATTTCATGGTGACTTAAAAAGCTTGGCTTTTTTAATTTTGTAATGCAATATATATATATATATATGTATATGTATATGTGTGTTATATATGTATATAGTCATTCAAATTTCTAAATCATTCTAAATTGTAACATAACGGTTGCTTGTTAATTTTTAAATGGTACCTGTTATTTTATTATTTTATTAATATTATTTGTATTCTGATATAGTCTATTAAATTTGGGGGCTTAAAAATTCATTTATTTTGAGTTTTTAATTGTAAATTGACATTTGACTGTCATTGAAATAATATGTTTATATAGATAATAAATTCATTTTCAAACTATTTATTTGTTATAAATAATGGTAACTTGTTAATTTTTAAACGGTGCTGGTTAATTCATGTATTTTCAATGATAATTTTAAACAATTGAATGTGTGAGGATAACTCCGCCTATGTTTATAGCCGGTCTCAAGCCCGGGTAAAGGAGGAGGGTTGTGTTAGGCCATCAACAGTCAATGTAAAAATTTGTTGAATCTATCATGAACATGGACAATAGACGTTATAATGTTAATGCTAGGTCGTTGTCAGTAAGTAACGCGCTGCATGGCTCGAGTACAGTGATAAGTGAGTTAGAGCCGCTGCATCGGCGCCCGGATGTAGTGTTAAATGAGCAAGGGCTACCGCGTCATTCTGGACGCACGCGGCTAAAGAAGTTAGTCCATAAGAGCAAAATTAGATTTGGTACTTGGAATGTTGGGACATTAAATTGTAAATCTGTAGAGGTTGTAGGGGTTATGATTCAAAGGAAAATCAATATCCTTTGCTTGCAAGAAACAAAATGGCGTGGAGAAGGAGCTAAGGATATTCAAGGTTTCAAACTTTGGTATACAGAAAAGTAAGTGCACGCAATGGAGTAGGCATCATTATAGATAAGGAGTGGAAGAACGTTGTAGAAGTTAGCAGAATTGGAGACAAAATTATTTCTTTAAAAATGATAATTGGACGTGAGACTGTTAATATTGTTAGCGCTTATGCGCCGCAAGTCGGGACAGAAGCCAGTCTTAAGGAATTATTTTGGGAGGATCTGGAGGGGTTAATTTGACACATACCACAGAGTGAAAAGATTTTTATTGGAGGAGACTTTAATGGGCATGTCGGGAGGGAAGCTGGTCAGTATGCGAGGGTGCATGGTGGTTTTGGTTTTGGAGAGCTAAACAATGAAGGGCAAACTCTTCTTGATTTCTCATTGGCGTATAATTTTAAGATTGCCAACACTTGTTTTAAGAAGAGAGATGAGCATCTCATCACTTACAAAAGTGGAGCCTCAAGGTCGCAGATTGATTTTCTTTGGTTAGGAACACAGATAGAAAACTTTGTAAAAATTGTAAGGTGATCCCTGGAGATGCTGTAACGACACAACATAGGGTCCTAGTCCTTGATGTGTGTATTATGAGTAAAATCCAAAAACGTCAACAAGTAGTAACACCAAGGATTAGGTGGTGGCAATTAAAAGGTGAGAAGCAAGATATTTTCAAGCGAAATCTTTTGGATAAAGGAATTTGGGATTCTCAGGGAAGTGCTAACATCATATGGGAGGATATGGCTAAAAAGATACGGGAGGTTGCAAAAGTAGTTTTAGGAGAATCGAAAAGTTCTGGTCCAAGAGATAAGGAGTCTTGGTGGTGGAATAATAGTGTACAGGACAAAATCAAGTGTAAGAAGAACTATTTTAAAGACATATATTTGTGTAACAATGAGGAAAATTG